CACAGCATTCTAATCAGGTAAAATGGAAAGTGGAAGGATAGAAAAAAACCCTAAGAAAGCATTTGAATAACCAAGTGTTCTGCAGCAAAGGGAATCCACAGGTGTACAATGTGTGAGACCTAAGCTCTCACTGGACCAGAGCCAAGGGCAGCTCTATGAGCACAGCTTCCAAGATTCAAGATGATCAACTCTCAGAAAGGGGGACTGGAATATTAACAAGAGGACAATGTGGTGACCATGTGAGGCTGTAGAAAATGAGAAACCTGGTGGGGTTCCCTGTCCAAAAAGGATAAGAGATAGAAGTGACAAGAGATGACTGCTGATGAGCTGTATTAGCTCAAAATTCCAAAGAAACACCCCAAAAAGCCTCATCACAAAGAAAGGTTGCAATATAGATGTCCCTGAGAAAAGATTGAGGAAGTCAAATGTCAAAAAGTAAGGCAAGGCACCAACAAAGTACATCCCAGAAACAAAGAAACCATGTTAAATGGGACAGAAAAAAAGAAGAAATTAAGGGCAAGGTGGGAAACAGGTATGTGCAAGATTCCCTGGTAAAGGAGAAGGTCACAATATAAATCTTCTAAAAGAAATGAAACATATACAGACAGCAAAGAAATTGGGTAAGTAAGTGGTGAAGACAAGTAAATGGAGAGTAAGAAAGAGAAAAAGAAGATATTTTCAATCTAAAAAAGAGAGTAGTGATAGATACTCATGCAAGAACGTAACCTGAGATTCAGCAAAAAACAGCTGAAGTAAAAGTAAACAAAAGGTACATACTTGTGTAACATACACATAGAAATAATAATGGCTAGAGACGGCTTGAATGGGTAATGAAGAAAAACTTTAATACAAGTTTTTCTTCATTACCCATTCAAGCTGTCTCCAGCCATTATTAGTCTCAAAGTGGGTTCCTCATCACCAAATTAGAATACACATAGAAAGATTTCTTGATTCTTGTTGAGAAGAGAGAACTAGAAAAAAGCAGGCATGAAAACAACACTGGTGAAATTCATCAAAAGATGGGTTCAACTCAGTTAAAGTAGCAGAAACAGGGTGTCAGGAATCCTGAATCAGAGATCAAAATGGAACCAACCACCTAGAGCATAATGGCAGTAACATCACGAACCTCTAGAGAACTTTCACTTGCCATACAGTATTGTATGACTCCTGTTGAGAAGTGTCAGTACCTTGGGAGATAAATTGGCCTGGTATGTTGATAGTGCATAGACCTGGATCAA